GCTTTATTAGTGTTAAGACAGGCTTATATTTACCCGAAATGCTTTGTATATCAAAAGGATTTCTGCATGTCACCCATCTCTGTACGAACATTGTATCATGCTCAAAGAATCTGAATCTGAGCAACCACAAGCTCTGCGCCCATTTATCTCTACCAAGGCAAGACGCGGAGGTACAAGAGAAGCCAAATCATCAGGATTTCTTTTGTTACAGCCAACAAATGTATAAAAGAAAAGGACAGATGGTCGGGAAACTTAATTAATGATTGTTTCCTACAGAATCGATATGAGAGGCGATGACGTGGAGACCTTTGCTAGGATTGCTATCTGCATCTTCTGGATGTCGTATAAGAGGCGGGGACGTGGTCATCTAGGCTAGGATTGCTAGCCGTAACTTCTAGATTTCTTTTGTGAAGCAGGGTAAGGAAAAATATATTGCTGAGTATGGTTTATTGAGATGATACATTAAATACGCATAATGTTCTTCATTTTGTGCATAACCTTAGATGCTTAGAACTTCATTACTAGTGGGAGCAATGGGCAATCCTATCAGTCATGGTGAAGACCCAGTTAACTTCCTAATGGACACCAGAGTTCCATTTACTCCACCATACCTGTGACTGCACTCTAAATGTGTCCTCAATCAGTGTCTAACACTAAAGAACAAGTGGTGAATTCCTTTGAATGATCAAACTTTCTCATCAATATTTCCGGCTTTTACCTCGACCCACTGCAGTCAGTGACCCACCTGACTACAGTGGGTGTCTTACCGTGATCCGAGGACATACGATGGTGTGGGTGCCTCAGAGCTAATTTCATTCTACTCCCCGTTTAGTGTACTAGCCTCCACGAGCAGTATATATATTATTGTAACCATGAACGAGTGATTCTTGTAGGATTGAGTGATTCTGCGGGTTAGAGCGTCATGTGATTTTCGCTCACCATGAGGCAGGCCAAAACGACAAGGGTTTGAGTCCTCGGCTAGTCGTAGTGTTGTTATTGACTCAATACCACTCGTTCGTTGTTACAATAATATATATATATTATATATATATATATATATATATATATATTATATATTATATATATTATATATATATATATATATATATATATATATATATATGTCGTGCCGAATATGTAAAACTGGTCAATTAGCAAGAACTCATTTAAAATTAAAACCTTTCTAAAATTTTCTCTTATACGTTTAAAGATACATTTTTTTCATTAATGTTAGTATAATTTTTTTTAATTTTGCTCCAAAAGAATCTTAGAATACTTACCTAACCTTATTATAAGAAGAACAATTTATTTTAGCCTAACCCAACTAAATATATTTTAGATTTGTTTACAATAATTTAATACTAAACAAACACAATGAAATATATTTTTTTTCGTTAGGTTCAGAATCATTTTGGCGAAATTATTGCATACACAAATTTTCACTTGTCTTATATGGCAAGATGAACGTTGCTATTTAAGCCAAGATCGCAAGTTCTGCCTATTCGGCACGACATATATATATATATATATATATTTTATATATATATATATATATATATATATATATATATATATATATATATATATATTATATATATGCAAAATTTTCTGGACTCAGCATCGCGACTTTCATTCTTCTCTCAAAATTTGGCCGTCGGAGAAGTTAAATAACAATCGTTACTGAAGTTGTCGTTTTAAAATGTAACATCATTTTCCCAAATTTCATGCTGACAACCACCCCAACGTTCACCAATCCTGTTCTTCACCCTAATACAACAAGTTTAATTAGGAACTTGTAAATAGGGTACAGGGAATACAAGGGGTAGTCCCGCTAAAATGAATGTCACAGGAAACCCTGCAGGCAAGTGGAGAAAAGTCGGTGACAGGCAATGACTAGGTGGAAATGGCAAAAAAAAAAAAAAAAAAAAAACTTATTAGCAAGGGGGAATGGTGTTTTAAAAACCTAGTAGGCCATATATACAGGGAATATACGGAGGAAATTTCCCAGCAAAAAATTTGCAGGCTGGAAATGGTAAACCAATAATTCAGAATTTACTGACCAACTTGCATCATTTCCCCTACAAAAGCTAGTTTCGGTAAAGAAAGAAAATCGTAATCAGAAGAAATTTAATGAGATCGTTCAGTTATCGGGGGTTTAAAATAAAGAAAGTAGTAGTCCCGTTTTTTTAAATCGCTGCAAAAGGTGGTATGGGGCCAGACAGGGTCAGTTTGATGTTGCCCCTTTTTGTTTTTGGCGAGTTGCATCGCCCCCTTTCTCCCCTCTTGTGGAAAAGGGCAAAAAATTTCCCGTAAACAAAAGGGGAAAAGGGTGGGAATAATCAAGAACTCAGAGCGTACCAGTGTCACGTACTGTTTTTTTTAAAAAAATAATCCGAAAAAATCACTATTTAATAATCATTCGTTTTTGTGTGACCCAAGTATAAAAAACGTTGTGTCGTTTACCTCTTTTTTGAACCCCCTTCACTGCGGTAGATGCACTGGACCGTTCAAAACTGTCAGTGTTTTATTACACTGCATTAACGGCCCTTTTAACTGGAAAACCCGCCGCTGGGGCATTTTATTTTTCATTGGGAAACGATTTTATTATGGGTCCCTTTTGTTATAGCTCCTCCCAAGGTTTTCCTATGTAAGAAAGGGGGCTAGTCTTACGAGGAACACTTTTTGGGGAGAAACTTAGGGAACTGTAGTCTGACAAAACATTTGCAGGGGAGCAAACAAATGGATCACTGAACACAAAAAAGATATCAGATATGCACAAGAAAATTCGGCCATTTTCCTATATGCTCTACAAGCCACCCACAACATACACAAATCTTTTATATAAAAAAAAAATCTGCCCTTGCAAAAGAAAATCGTTACAATCACTGTTAATGTAACAGGAACCAATTTACAACCTCCCATTAAAAACCACGAAAAATTGATTCAATTACCTCATGTATCACAAATTCTTAGCTTCCGGCATTATATTTATTGGTCCATGTTGACATGAAATCATCACGCAGTTGCTGCAGATTTGTCGGTTGCACATTTGTGCCGAGAATCTCCCGTTCCACAACATCCTAAATGCTTACGCCAAATTCTGACTCTACCATCGGCAATTCTTCATAGCGATTCATCAGACCAGGCGACGTTTTTCTAGTTGTCAGACTGTCCAGTTTTGGTGAGCCTATGCCCACTGTAGTCTCAGTTTCTTTTCTTAGTTAACAGGAGTGAAACTTGGTGTGGTCTTCTTTTGCTGTATTCCATCCACTTCAGGGTTTGACGTGTTGGGCATTCAGAGATGCTTTTCTGCATACAACTGTTGTAACGTGCGGTAATTTGAATTACTGTCATCTCCCTATCAGTTTGAACCAGTCTGGTCATTTTCCCATGACCTCTTTCATTAACAAGACGTTTTCGCCCACAAAACTGCCGCTCACTGGATGTTTTGTGTTTTTTAGACCATTCTCTGTAAACTCTAGAGACTGTCGTGCGTGAAAATGTCAGGAGATCAGCAGTTTCTGAGATACTCAAACTAGCCCGTCTGGCACCAACAATCATTCCACGGTCAAAGTCACTTAGATCACATTTCTTCCCCATTCTGATGTTCAGTCTGAACAACAACTGAACCTCTTGACCATTTCTGCCTGATTTTAATCATTGAGGTACTGCAACGTGATTGGCTGAATAGATATTTGCATTAACAAGCAGTGTAAAGGTGTACCTAATAAACTGGCAACTGTGTGTATAAACTTCTGTTTTCTCCACGTTGCTTATCTGCTGAAGAGGGTCTCTGAGTCCGAAATTTATAGAACGTGTCTATGCCATGTTTGATTTTCCATTCATTCAGCCTTGTGGAATTTATTTTACTATTTATCTAATATATATATATATATATATATATATATATAATATATATATATATATATATATATATTATATATATATATATATAATATATATTATATATATATATTTTTCAGCAAAATCAAAGCAGCAGCAGAACGTGGTAGTAAGCATCAAATAAGCAGCAGCAGTGTTAGCAAAACATGAACGCAACAGCAGCAACAACAGACATCAAAGCAGAAGAAGCAACAACAAACCTTAATGCACAGCAAACATCAAAGCAGACATCGTTCATTACTCTCTACGTTCCTCATGGTAACTACTTCATAATACCAATAATATTATCTAAGTAATCCAAGTCATCGTTCCTATTATATATATATATATATTATATATATATATATATATATATATATATATATATATATATATATATATATATATATTTATATATATATTATATATATATATATATATATATATATACTGCACGTATAAGTTCTGTCAAGCACCTTAACTACTGGGAAACGCTTGAAAGCACTTGACTTGTACTCGTTGAACGCAGGAGGGAGAGATATATCATAATCTACACTTGAAAATCTTGGAAGGAATGGTCCCAATCTGCACACAGAAATCACTCCCTACGAAAGTAAAAGACTGGGCAGGCGATGCAAAATGCCGCCAATAAAAAGTAGGGCGCCATTGGTACACTAAGAGAAAACACCATAAGTGTCCGGGGCCCAAAACTGTTCAACAGCCTCCCATCAAGCATTAGGGGAATTGCCAATAAACCCCTGGCTGCCTTCAAGAGAGAGCTGGACAGATACCTAAAGTCAGTGCCGGATCATCCGGGCTGTGGCTCGTACGTCGGACTGCGTGCGGCCAGCAGTAACAGCCTAGTTGATCAGGCCCTGATCCATCGGGAGGCCTGGTCGTGGACCGGGCCGCGGGGGCGTTGATCCCCGGAATAACCTCCAGGTAACCTCCAGGTAACCTACTATCAGCAAGAAGTATCTTGAGCACCAGAGGTGTATACTGGTAGCTGATGTTGGTGTGGTAGAAACAGCGACCTACCAGCACCAGACAGGCAGACGGAGCAACAACAGCAGCAGCAGCAGCAGCAGCAGCAGCAGCAGCAGGGAGTGAGAAGTGAGCAAGGCTGGAAGTGGGTTAGTTGTGTGTGGATTGAGCAGGGGATCGCACGCCGCCGCCTACCTCTTCTCGTTCCCAACCCCACACACTACCCTGGCCGTTGTCTCACGTGGACCCCACACCACTCTCTAGTCACAAGTTTCTCCTCTAGTATACCTCTACTGCGCCTCCCGTGAAAACTTCTACAGCCCTTCCTCTTCCTTCTGGGGCTACTTCCTCCCTCCTAGGTACTTCAGCCCACCGAAGTACTTGTCAATCTATCAACTTCCCGAAGTGATGAGTCTGAGGCTTGCAAACAGGGTGACGTGTTTGTGTATCTCTGAGAGGTGTTGAAGGCTGGAACTGGAAAGTTGTGTCCCTAGCTAGGAAGTTCCGCCTCGCCAGGAGAAATCCCTTAAGCAGGGATGAAACCACCCACCACCACCACGTCGAATTGCAACAACACCCCTCCCTGCAAGATGACCCATTGAAAGTTAGCAGGAGAAATTAAGGACACAAACAGCGCACACCTCACCAACAATACCTGACGTATTTACAACTTTGTCTTGTCAATTTCTCTCCTCCGTTTCGTCCTTTCCCTCTTTTTATCTCATTTTTTTCCTGACTCGCTTGGCTTTTCAAATTATTTCTTAGTCTCCCAGTAACCCTGACAAAAACAAAAGCGCTGACTCAGGTGGAAGTAGGTAAACAAGAGGGAAAGTGATGACTGAAACTAGATACGCTGACTAAGACAGAAATAAAACCACATCCTCGACCACTAACGCCTCCTGTTGCTGCTGCCACAGGACTTTATCTCTTATTGCTACTGCCACAGGAGGCCCCGAGGACGCCACAACAACTGCATGAGTCACGACACTGCCACTCACTTGCTGGAGGGTCGTCATCGCCGGGAATTCCGTGACTTTTCTTAAAAAAAAAAAGTGAGTCTGTGGCATCATCTTTCACAGTTTCGTGGTCATTGTCGCTCGGTGAGGAGCTTCTGAATGAGTGTAGTGAGCGGTTCGAAGTGCCTCTGACCCCCGTGTCCGAAACAGGTTACCAACATATAGTTAAGACTCACCCACCACGGGAAATAGTGTGAAGTGTATATGTTCAAGGTGACAACAGCGTCACGGCACCAACAGCTGCAGCTCCGTCACACTTACGCATCTCGTATAGAAGCTAAGAGGCAAATCATAACAGAAACAGGATTGAGTCAAGTTTCAGACTTCAGTGAAACTAGCGTGTTGCTCATCCTTAGTGAAAGTTGAGACTCCAGCGAAAGTACTCTTGTGGTCTACCATAAACTTAATCTGGGGAATTCAGGGAAAACAAAAAGAAATTATCACTGTCTTTCTAAGAAATCTCTCACTCCCTTCCCATCCTCTCTCTCTCCTGCCAGTGAAAATCTTGGCTGGGAAGCTGGTCTTGAGGTGGGAAACCCTGGCAGCGGGTCACCCGTCTGCCCACACCGGTTCTTGCCCACAGTGGAGTCACACACCCTCACAACAGGAAGTGAAGACGAAGGTGGAACCAGGGACAGTGTTGAACCCTGGGGCACACAGAGCACGCGGGAGAGGCGGCCTTAGTGGTCACTGATCCACTTTTTTCCTCCATCAACGTATCCGAGGTTAGCAGTAAGGCATTACAAACCTGCTGCTGGACCAGTTCACAGCAACAAAAATCGTAAGACAACGCTTTTTTTTTTTTACCTTCGGCATTTCACACAGGAAGTAGCTTTAACGGAGGTGACTGTGGAATGTGAGCCCTTCGGTGTGTTTCAAAGGGAATGAACCTGTGTAAGATATCTTCAGTCAAAGGATATCTTTTTCACAGTGGTAAAAGCAGTTTTAATAAGAGTGACACAAGTGTTGTGTACTACTGTCCTCTGAGTCTCGTTCTAATTCGTGTGAACTTGTAGTCTAGAGTAACACCAGCCCAGAGTACTTAATTACAGAGGTGAAAATTAATAACCTCGTCGCCAGTGATTGTGTTTGTGAGTGTTGTCGCTCAGAGGCTCTAGAGAGGTGAAGGAGCTTGAGGTGAAGGTGATGCGTGCTCTTTTGTGATGTACTTACCGGTTGTCTTGATGGGTGGGAGGTAGATCAAGCAGCAAAAGTTACTTCGACGAGGCCTGTTGCTCGCTCCAACGAGACTGGACACCATTGAAGCCAGAGAAGAAGCTGACCACATTGCCCTGCGACACTCCATCGGCAACCATAACACGACCCAAGGTCTCGTTGGAGGAGGAAGAGCTACTAATTTTCAACTCCCAAGAAGTTCCTTCAACATTACTAACAACACTTTCTTCAACAATGCCTCGTCTTTAAAGATCAACGCCACCTTTTCCTCCATCCCTAGTAACTATAACAAAAAATCTTGCCTCTCACCTTCCTTCTTCAATAGCACCTTCAACGCTTCCTCCTCCTCCAACAGCACCTCCAACGGGTCCTTCTTACTCCAAGCACCAGCTCATCTCAATGACACAATGATGACAGTAAGTGTTTCCTTCCGCTCTTCTGGCACTGTTTACTTGTCAAGTGTTCTCCAAATGTCAGCTTTTACATATTTTTATCTCCATTTTGTTACCTATTAAAGCGCACGGTGACGAAGCCTTTAACCTCGTACCTTTCATTGATAATTGTTGAAGGTAAACATACTAATTATTTATATTTCAGTTAAATAATATTGGAAATATTACCTCCTTCACTTGTTTATCCAGTAACATGGTTTTATTTTTTTTGGGTTAAGTTGGTCTACATGATTTACCGCCAGTGTTTGCCTATAACAACGATGCATTGATTACAACCCTCGATCAAATGAGAAGACTAAAAGTCGCAGTAAAGCGGCTGGAACAACTCGCAAATAACAGTCAATTTGGGAAGGATAAGTGGTCTTAGATTTCCTCTCCAAAGTGAAGAGTTGTGTAACTGTGAGGTAAGTCTACTGAACCACCCGCGGAGACCCCAAACAAAGTTTTTCTAGCTTATCGATGGATTCAGGCTTGAGTAATTGAGTAAATGATGAGTCTCTTGAGAAGTGAAGGCTTTGTATGAGCCTTAGGCGTTGTATGAGCCTTAGGCGTTGCATGAGCCTTAGGCGTTGTATGAGCCTTAGGCTGGTAGGTAAGACACATAGGCAACAGTTAGGCAACTTTATTCCGAAACGTTTCGCCTACACAGTAGGCTTCTTTAGTCGAATACAGAAAGTAGGCAGGAACAGTAGAGATGTGAAGACGATGTAATCAGTCCATCACCCTTGCCTATGTGTCTTACCTACCAACCTGTCGGTATTGTATAACATTTTGATGTTCATGAGCCTTAGGCGTTGTATGGGCCATAGGCGTTGTATGGGCCATAGGCGTTGTATGGGCCATAGGCGTTGTATGGGCCATAGGCGTTGTATGAGCCTTAGGCGTTGTATGAGCCTTAGGCGTTGTATGGGCACAGGCGTTGTATGAGTCTTAGGCGTTGTATGAGCCTTAGGCGTTGTATGGGCCATAGGCGTTATATGGGCCTTAGGCGTTGTATAGGCCTAAGGCGTTGTATGGGCCTTAGGCGTTGTGTGGGTCTTAGGCGTTGTATGGGTCTTAGGCGTTGTGTGGGTCTTAGGCGTTGTATGAGCCTTAGGCGTTGTATGGGATTTGGGAGTTGTATGTGCCTTGAACGCTTCCCCATGAATATACTATTACTGCTGCTACTACTACTACTACTACTACTACTACTACTACTACTACTACTACTACTACTACTACTACTACTGCCACTACCACTTCTATATTACTACTATTACAACTGTTACCACTACTACCACTGCTACTAAAATTACCACCACTACTACTACAACTACTACTACTACGACTACTACTACTACTACTACTACTACTACTACTACTACTACTACTACTACTACTACTGCTACTACTACTACTACTACTACTACTACTACTACTATTACTATTATTACTACTACCACTTCTATACTACTACTAGTACTACTACCACTGCCACTAAAATTACCACTACCACCACTATGACTACTACTGCTGTTACTACTGCTACCACACTGCTAACTACTACTACTACTACTACTACTACTACTACTACTAATAATAATAATAATAATAATAATAATAATAATAATAATAACAATAATAGTAATGTTTGTAATAATTTTAATAAAAATTATAAAAATCTGTGAGACACTTATCTCTGTATGAGACATACAGTTAAATATATGTGAAAACTATTTAAAAACGGTAAAATTAGAAGACTTTTGGAATATATATACAGTGGTCCCTCGATTATCGACGGTAATCCGTTCCTGGAAGCCGGTCGATTATCGAAATGGTCGATTTACGAATCAATTTTCCCCATAAGAAATAATGTAAATTCAATTAATCAGTTCCTGACACCCAGAAGTATTAAAACAAAAAAATTTTTTACATGAAATATTCATGTAGTACATAAACAATACAATGGGAAATGATGAATGAAACATTAACAGCATAACACTTACCTTTATTGGAGATTCTTCTTAGTGTATGGGAGACTGGAGGAGGAGGAGAGAGTGGATTGTTTATAGTTTGGAAGGGGAATCCCCTTCCAGCGACACCTCAGGTACCATTTGCTTTTCTGGGGTTGCTTCTTTTCTCTGTTTCTTAATGCCACTAGGACCAGCTTGAGAGTCACTGGAGTCCTGTCTCGCAAAATAACTGTGCAGAGAGCTCTGTTTCTGGCGTCTCTTTAAAACTTCCCTAAAATTTGCCAAGACTCTGTCACTGTACAAGTTGCCGATATGGCTTGCAACATCCTTCTCTGGGTGATGTTTCTCCATAAATCTTTCCATCTTACCCCACATAGTAAAAATCTCCTTAATTTCTGAAGAAGGCACCTTCTTCCATCTCTCTTCCTCCTCCTCTGCAGCAAGATTCTGAGCTGCGATCTGTTGCTCTTCCTGCTGAAGCTCTTGCAGCTCCTCAGTGGTTAGCTCTTCGTTGTGGTCCTCCACCAACTCTTCCACATCCTCCAAACTCACATCCAACCCCATGGATCTCCCCAGTGCCACAATAGAGTTCAAAACTGACATAGGCTCATCAGGGTCAGCCCCAAACCCTTCCAAATCCCTCTTGTCGACACAATCTGGCCACAATTTCTTTGGAGCCATGGTAGCTTATTTAGCACTTAAATAACTTGCAAGCACTAAAATAAATGAAATATTATGAAATATTTCACTGGAGCACGTGAGAGGACCGCCGCTAACTGGTAAACAATGGCACACTGGCTGGGAAGGAAGGCTGAGGCGGGTCGAGGCCCACTAACCTCGTGCATACGCGTCTGGGACGACGGGTCGAGACGGGTCGATAAACGAATTTCGGTCAATTTCCGAGTCAATATTTTGTCGAAAAAACCGGTTGATTTCCGAAATGGTCGACTTTCAGGCCGGTCGATTATTGAGGGACCACTGTATATATATATATATATATATATATATATATATATATATATTTTATATATATATATATATATATATATATATATATATATATGTATATATAAATTGAGATAATTATACAATCATGTGATTGTTAAAGAAAGCAAAGTAATCTGCATCCTGTGTGAAAGTATTTACGTTTTATTAATATGGAAGAGTTCATGTGTAGAAATCTGATGATATTTCCCATTCTTATCACTTTCTCATTACCTCTCTCTTCTCCTTTCTATTTCTTTTCATTTGTCTCTGCTTCTCTCACTCCTCTCTGGGTTTTTTTCCACTTCACTTTATTCCTCGCTTAATTTCGTCACCTCTCTCTGCTTCTCTCCGTTTCAATATTTCTCTCTTCCTTCTCTACCTCCTGTTACGTTTCACCCCATTGACATACTGGGTTATAATTATTGTGCCACACCATCAAGGTCTTGTTGAAGCGTTGGTGACCCTGTAGTGGTCACTAAAACTTTACTGTTAACTTTACTCACCACTGGGTTAACCTTACTCACCACTGGGTTAATCTTACCCACCACTGGGTTAACCTTACTCACTACTGGGTTAATCTTACCCATCACTGGGTTAACCTTACTCACCACAGGGTTAATATTACGCACCACTGGGTTAAGCTTACTCACCACAGGGTTAATCTTACCCACCACTGGGTTAACCTTTCTCACCATTGGTTAATCTTACCCACCACTGGGTTAGCCTTACTCACCACAGGGTTAATCTTACTCACCACTGGGTTAAGCTTACTCACCACTTGGTTAATCTTACCCATTACTGGGTTACCGTTACTCACCACAGGGTTAATCTTACCCATCACTGGGTTAACCTTACTCACCACTGGGTTAATCTTAAGCATCACTGGGTTAACCTTACTCACCACTGGGTTAATCTTACCCACCACTGGGTTAACCTTACTCACCACTGAGTTAATCTTACCCATCACTGGGTTAACCTTACTCGCCACAGGGTTAATCTTACCCACCACTGGGTTAACCTTACTCGCCACAGGGTTAATCTTACTCACCACTGGGTTAAGCTTACTCACAACTGGGTTAATCTTACTCATTACTGGGTTAACCTTACTCACCAATGGGTTAATCTTGCCCACCACTGGGTTAATCTTACTCGCCACTGGGTTAATCTTACCCATTACTGGGTTACCCTTACTTACCACAGGGTTAATCTTACCCATCACTAGGTTAACCTTACTCACCACTGGGTTAATCTTACCCATCACTGGGTTAACCTTACTCGCCACAGGGTTAATCTTACCCACCACTGGGTTAAGCTTACCCACCACTGGGTTAATCTTACCCACCACTGGGTTAAGCTTACTCACCACAGTGTTAATCTTACCCACCACTGGGTTAATCTTACTCACCACAGGGTTAATCTTACCCACCACTGGGTTAACCTTTCTCACCAATGGGTTAATCTTACCCACCACTGGATTAACCTTACTCACCACAGGGTTAATCTTACCCACCACTGGGTTAACCTTACTCACCACAGGGTTAATCTTACCCACCACTGGGTTAAGCTTACTCACCACAGGGTTAATCTTACCCACCACTGGGTTAAGCTTATTCACCACAGGGTTAATCTTACCCACCACTGGGTTAATCTTACCCACCACTGGGTTAATTTTACCCACCGCTGGGTTAACCTTACTCACCACAGGGTTAATCTTACCCACCACTGTGTTAAGTTTACTCACCACAGGGTTAATCTTACACATCACTGGGTCAACCTTACTCACCACTGGGTTAATCTTACCCACCAATGGGTTAACCTTACTCACCACTGGGTTAATCTTACCCACCACTGGGTTAACCTTACTCGCCACAGGGTTAATCTTACCCACCACTGGGTTAAGCTTACTCACCACAGGGTTAATCTTACCCATCACTGGTTACTCTTACTCACCACAGGGTTAATCTTACCCACCACTGGGTTAACCTTTCTCACCACTGGGTTAATCTTACCCACCACTTGGTTAAC